TTAATATACGGTCCGATATGCATCGATGCTTGCCACTTAATCAAAGCACCTCACTTTATTCTTGTGCTCTTTATTTAAAAAAATCCCCGTTGTCTTTCTGTTGTAGACAGCTTCGGACGACGCGAAAACCCTACCCCTCCAATTGAACCATTTCCAGTTCGTTTGAAGACTTGAACATGCTTCTAGAACTCATCCTTCCGCAAAACTCTGCAAAAAGTAGTTCGTTCGACGCCGAATGTTATCTTCTCTGCATTGCACGCGACTCCCACACGTAGATGTTGGAAATGTGTAACTTTTAGGTAAGGCATCCCCATACAGACGTGCTCTTATAATTTAGAAAGGTCCGAGCGTACTGTTTCGTCCGTTTGTTGATTCATAACGTCGTGGTTAGTTGGACAGTACTTCCTGTGACCGCCCGTTCCCCACTTTTGAGCTTGCAGCTTGCCGCTACCTTCAGGTGTAGCTTCAGTTATTCTTCTCAACAAGAACCTTGAATAATTCTTTTCATTATTCCATATTTGTATAACATCTGAGTATTGTTGGTGAGCCCTGCGCTTACGACCCCTTTGCTATCAAATACCCCCCCCCCCCCCCCCCGGTTGTGACTTCCACAACGATGGCGTACCCTGATTGCATAACTTCGCAAGGATTTACAACTCTTCACAGGAGGCATCCGCAATGATCGATGAGTACCAGAATGTCCCCCCCCCCTCAAGGCCGAACTGCTCTAAGAAAGACTTAACAATCGATCTTTGACTAAATCCTTTATTAATTACTTAATCGCATAAAGACTAGCTGACCACGACAAACGTACGAATACAATAATAGACAGCAGTAACACGAGATCAACAAATTGAAAATTCACGTCCTACAAAACATGAGTGGTATGTACAAAACTGCAAAAGTCATGGGATTTGAGCAACGAAAACAATTTGCCCGTTACCAGCATTCGAAGAAGTTTTACTCATTTTTGGCATGATTTGGGTCAACCAGATGGGTAGTTTCTGACTCTTCTCCTTCATCGTTGTAATCCTCGTCTTCATCATCTGGGTAGAACTCTTCTCTATCAACACTGAAGTCTGCTGAGCAGATACTGCAATAAGCACTTATCAGTGTGAAAGTACTGCTTCAAGAAAATACGGTGATCTTTTTTTACAGCACTCTCTACTAACTTCGGTTACTTCGATGGAACGAATTAAACCTTCAAGATGACCACTTCAGCAGCAGAATAGAGTGCAATCGAGAAAGAAAAATAAAAAAACGTCAAAAATTACCTATAACAAATAATACTGAGAAATGCGATCGGCATTCCAAAAAGAACCGACGATAATAACGGTTGTGTGGCAAACATTTGTGTAATGTTAAGGTAGATTTCAAAAATCATTCGTCGTATCCGAACTGGCAAGGAACGTCCTGTAATGGTGAATGTGGTAAAAGAAACGCCCATTTACTAGGCAAGGAGCTCACCTCCCAGCGCAGTGACTGTTCCTTTCTCAATTCCGTCAGCAAGATTGCTAAGCCATGTAATGATTGATGCACGGGTGACCTTCTCCGGGTCATCTTCGTTCAGAAAATATTCGTATGTTGTGTAATTCAATACAATCATGCCTAAACACTAGTTCGTTAGGCCCACAACGCACTTGCATTAGAACTCATATTCTTACGAAAAAAATAATAAAAAGGCATAATACAACGACCAGGAGCCTCCATATGGCTCATCACTATACTGGTAACAATTTCCGGACCGTCAAGCCATGCAAACTGATACCGTGACGATAAATCGTGAGATTTGCGTAAGTCTTCTGCTGCACCACGTGCCTAACAAATATCTAGTTGAGTTCAAAACGGTTCACTGAGTGCTACTCGTAAAAGTGACATATCAAACGTGCGATGGTAGCGAGAGTCAAACACAACAGCAACTAATTTGAGTCGTAAGAGAATCAGGGCAGTGCGTAGCGCGAAGGAGCGCATTGTTACTTTCGCTACTTTACTAGTCTCGGTTTACAAGCCTCTGGTGAGACCTGTTAACTTTTCTGAAGCTGAAGCAAACTCATCGAGCCACCATAGTAAAACCTGGCAACACTTTGTAAGCTCATGAAATCACTAGTATTATCGAGAATTTACAAGATTTTGCAGGTAGTCTTCACAAGAGTTGACAAGTGGTTTCTACGGGGAGACGGTAAAGAGGATCGTAATTCGCCGCACCGCCACGCGCGGCGATGGGCGCGGCGTTTTCATAACTCGTTTTAACCTGTCGAATGAAGCACCGGACTTCATGTAGACCCCGTCATCGTAGACACTCATTACTGTTTTCGGTCCTTAATTGCATGTTGTCGCCATCTACTGCCTGAAACCATCGTCCTTTGCGGGCGGGACGTCGCACGCGACGCCCAGCAGCGCGGCAAATTACGATCCTCTTGTCACATACCCGGTTTCTACGAATTTTGGCTAGTATCATTTCGTGGCTTCATAATCTGCACTTGATGGCTCAACACGTCGACGGGAAACAGCGAAAGCAAAGGTCCCCCTTATTAGCCGAACTGCGCCATTATTCAAGTGCAAAGGGAAAAAATCTGTCGAACGAAACTGAATTCAAGTGAGAGCGAAACGGGTCTTACGAAACTTGCATTGAAACCAATGCACAAACTGCTGCATGTTCTAAGGAATCGTTAATCACTAAAGGGAAGTCAGACTTCACCAAACAGAGTAGTCCCAAAAGACTCACCTTTTCGTAAAAAACTCCAATAGGCGATGATTGATTGTATCTCTCAAGCTAAAATGAGTACATCAGTCGGTTCCTCGTTGTAGGATATAAAATACGAACCTCAGTACATATTACAAGTACGAGCAGCTTCCTAGTGGTGGCCAGATCTCCTAGATTTGTGGCCGATGCACGGGGTATCAATGGCCATCGTTCTGCCATAATCCAGCTCTTTAGCCCTTCTGTAAAGGTACTTTGCATGAATTATCCGTGTCGAAGCCAGACGATAAGAGATAAAATAAGTACAAGGCTGCGTTCACACTTTACGTCAGCCTTTTCAGCGTAGAGGAGCGTTTTGAGCGATTAGGAAACTATAGATATCTATCTAGCGTTTTGAGCGACTGCACGTGAAAGGTTCAAAACAACCCGCGAAACGCTGTCGTACGCTCGAAACGCTAGCGCAAAGTATGAATGCAGCCTGACGTTAAAGGTAAAAATGTTATTTGCTCGTTTACTTCCACCTTTATCGGAGCCAGTGACAACGAAGTGTCAGAGTTGTGATAGGGTAAGTAGTTTCAGTATGATTTAAAAAGAACGTTGACTAAAGTTCTACCTTGGTCTTTAATAAGACCCCTTCATCACCGTAAGCTACATGAGCAAAATCTCACCGGCAGAGCCATGGTATGGAAAGAAAGCATCATCTTTGAACACGGCTACCCTTGCGTTGGACTCTCGAAGCGTTGCCGGAACCGAAGAGGGACTGGCAGCGAAAAATCTTGTCTGAATTGAGATAATTATCGAAACGCACATTCTGGATATTTCCCGATTTTAATTGTGTGCCACGTCAATCTGGGTCAAGAGCAAAGGA